GGGTGGGAAGGGGGAGAATAGGGGAACCCGTGGCTGATATGTAGAACTGAATGGTATTGTAAAATAAAATAAATAAAAAGAAAAAAAGAAAAAAGAAAAAGAAAAAAAAATATCGCTTAGATTTACCAAATTAAAAAAAAAAAAAATCAGAGAGTAACAAGTACAAATACTGAAATTAATCTTGGGCGCTAAGATTATAGTTTCCCAGTCTGTATGAAGAGACCCTACACAGCACATTACCATTTCTCACAAGGCCATCCTCATATACTGGACACACTCCATAGTACAGAAGTGGCTCCTTAGCAGCTGTCGCTCCAGCCTTGTGGTTGTCATTCCTGGCAGAGGCACTGAGTGGTATTGGGTAGGACTTGGATGTCACAGCTTCATCTTCTGGAGGGTTCAAGCCCACACTGTAACCAAAATCTTTGTCTTCGGAAGAACTGGCCTGCTGAGTTTGTTTCCCTTCCACAGATGCAGGAGTCCTTGGGGTGCCCTGGATAAATGCTGTGGCAGTTACCTCACTGTGATTGGGAAGAGAGGAAGTCAGCAATCCACCTTGCTCTAGTAAAGCCTGAGCTAATTTCTTCTCAAAAATAAATCTTGTTGTTGATGTAATGGGTCCACATTTCAATCCAGCTTTTATAACTTCTTTTCTAAGGTCATCTGGATTCAGGAGCTTCAATCGCGCCAACATGGCATCCATTGTCACTTCACCTAAGTTCAAGAAAGCAAAAATCAACTTGAACCATGGGACAGTAGCTCAGCAAAGCACATGCTTAAGTAGGTGCTCAGTTTCCTCACAGGATCCTACCTTAGATACAATATGTATTCTTATCCTAAAGCTACCCTTTTACCTTTAGTTTTTCAAAGAAGGTTTTGTCTCTCCAACTTAACAAACATAAACAGAACTTCATACATTACTAACTTCAATCCTAGTATAATTAATGAAATTCTAAGCCTCAGTTTCTCACCTACAAAATGGATATAATAGATCCACTCTTGGGTTATAATGAAAAGTAGAAAAAATAATGAATACAAATTCTGCCCCACTGGGTCTGACACTGATAAAATATCCATAAATGTCTGCTACAGCCATTGAGCTGTTGAGGAACAAAGGCTCATTAACCTTTAGAATGAGTAACAGCACACTGGAAAGTCAGTTAAAATTAACAAACAGACAAAAAAACTGTCATATACTCAAGGGCAGCCACCTCTGACATATAAGAAGCCACAACTGTGCTCCAAAGAGCCTCTACTAACAAGACAGATGATGGCCATAGCTCACCAACTGCACTGGCACCGGAAGTATTAGCGCAACCTTTGCAGTCTTAGAAAGATGGATAGATTGACAGAGACATGAGAAATTGAAGTAGGTCTGCAGATTAGACAACAGTGTTCTATCACTGTTCATTTCCTTGTCATACTCGTGGTGTGATTATGTAGCACAGAAAATCTAGAGAATCTAAGCTACTAATATATAGAATTTTGTTTTGTTTTTTGAGACAGGTTTTCTCTGTGTAGCTTTGGCGCCTTTACTGGAACTCAGTCTGTAGCCCAGGCTGGCCTCAAACTCAGAGATCCGCCTGGCTCTGTCTCCCAGTGCTGGGATTAAAGGTGTGTGCCACCCCCCCCCCCAGCTAAGACAATACATTTTCAAAGACAGGCATGCTGGCATAGTCTTGTAATCCTAGCACTTATGCTAAGGCAGGAAGACCATGAGTTTACGGCCAGTCTTAGCTACATATAGCAGGAACATTAAACAAGTAAGTTTAATTTCTCTGGGACAGAAGCTTTACGGGTACAGGACAGATAGGTTGAACTTCCTTGAGACACTGCTAGACTAATCTCCAGAGGGGACTATACTGTTAACAGACCAACAACAACAGGGGAGCCATCTTCTCAGTGTGTGTCAACTTTTCGGAAAGTGTTTTTTTTTTTTTTAAATTTCAGTTAATCTAATAGGTATGCATTGATACCTCACTGCATTGAACTTTTTTCCCCCTATCAGCTGGTAATGTAAAATATCTTTGTACATGAGTTGAACTATTCTGTGTTGTTTTTATAATCCTTTATACACCTAAAATGATTTCAAAATGAAAAACTAAAACTGAAAATAAACTTTTAGTGAAACAAGATGCTGCAAACCCTGGTGTTTTGGCTCTATACCCTTAGCTACATTAGCCACATGCAATGCTCTGCTTCAGTGTTTGGGTGACTTTTATTCACTGACCTTCTCTTGAGTTTTCGATAGTGTTCACAGAGTCAACAGACTAGTGGGCAATATATTCATTAAAGATATCCTTATTGCCTTATGTGTTCCTATTAATGCATGTATGGGTGTATGTGTGTGCATGCAGAAGTCAAAAGTCAATGAATAGCCTCAGGTGTTATTCTTTAGGTGCCACTTAATTAATTAATTTTTCAAGTCAGGGTTTCCCTATGTAACAGCTCTGGCTATCCTGGAACTCACTTTGTAGACCAGGCTGGCCTTGAACTCACAGAGATCCACCTGCCTCTGCCTCCCAAGTACTAGGATTAAAGGCATGTCTTGAGGGGACGAGAGAACGTAAAACCCAAAAGACAAGGTGTTAGACCTGTTGTCATGACTCATACATTTCATCTCTCCACAGCTGCGTACAGCCACAGCATTATCTTGACCTTCCTGTTCTGTTTCTTTAGCAAAAATGGAGAAATCAATGACTGTTAAGGAAGGGTTGAGATGTACTTCAACGGTAGAACACTTGCCAATATGTGCCAGACCTCTTGTTTTTCTTCCCAGTACTGCTAAATAATTAAAAAGTGAAGTTGTATATAAGTTCCAAGAGGCAAGTGAAGCCTCAGTCACCCCCAAGATTTTCTTTGGCCCTAGAGTCCTAAGGTGCAGACAACAGTTTAAAACTTTATCTTTCTTCTAGAATACCTAGGGGAATTACTGTTTATCTTCCACTAAGAACTAGACTCCAAGAGCAAGAAAGTATTAGTGAAACATGACTTCTGATAAACACAAACCTGGTAAGCACTGGATTATAGTTCAGGGAGGTGGAGGGCTGAGAAGAAAAGAGCTAACTAAGCACAGAGGTGTGGGCTTACATCAGGAGTTCCCAAAACAAGCAAAAAAGACCACAGAACCCGTGGAGGGGCCCCAAAATAGCTTGACCACACAGCAGCCATGACAGGTTTAGGGGCCTAGACAGTTTCTGTGACAGGCTTACTGGCAGGCAACACCCAGATCCAGGAAAGCCTTACGCTGATACCACCCAGGTATCCACCCATTGGTGAGGAAGTACCTGACAACCTAAACATTCCAACCATCAGATAAGGTGCCAGATGTCCTAGAGTCTAGCACACACCTATTTTTTGTTTTACAGACACCCCTAGACAACTGTCAGCCAACCAGGGTCCTGGACCCTGGAAATCCCCTCACCCCAACCTCTGCTATGATAAAAAACTCTGCCCCACCTGAGCTCAGGGCTCTCTGCTCTCACCGCTGTGTTGGACAGACAGAGGGACCAAGCTCCAGAGCTTGAAATAAAGGCTTTTTGCTTTTACATGCGGGGTTCGGTCTCCGTGGTGGTCTTTTGGGGGTCCCTGTGATCTGGGCATAACAAACCCTACAAAACTGCCAACCCTTCAGCGCATCGATGAACTCCGTTGAAGACCTTTCCCCAGAACTGAGACATGCATCAATCACCTCAGCAGCTCTTACATGGATGATGCCAGCAGGTAGTAGGGCTCAATTTCAGCACTGAATGTATTACTCTCAAAAAAAAAAAAAAAGAAAAGAAAAGAAAAAAACCACACTAAGAACTACTATTATTCGTATCCTGCTAATGGCGGGGCGGCGGAAAATAGTAGGTGAATGGAATGACCCGCCCAGTACTGAGAAGTCCCACAGCAGCAGTGACAGAAACGGGAGCAGGTGTGCCATGATTTCACTCCAGACACCAGGCTGCTGCTTAACGCTCACCTCGATCTTAAAGTGACCATCAACCATCCTCCCATCTCTACTCACCCAGACCTGACAGTCCAGTCAAAAGCAAAAAACGAGAACGACATCCCTCCATCTCCCCTGTTCCTAAATCATGGAGTCACGCCTAACTTCATTGTCTCATCCTACCACTATACTTAGTTAAGTTTCACATTCAAACCACTGCCAGAACCAACTTCCTCTTCTCCGACTCCGACTAAGTCCGGCTTTAGACTACTGTTCACCCTTCCCGCAGCCCTTGCAAAGCCGCTCCCTGGCTCAGACGCTCTTCCTCTGTAAGCCCCAGACGCGCCGGGGCAGCCAGGGCTCTGGATCTCACCCACAGTGTCTGGAATGCTCCTACAAAGGAACAAGTTCCGCGTCTCGGTCAGTCAGAGTCCCGCCAGTGGACTCGGGCCGTGACAGGACCCTCCTGTGTCCACAGGGAGAGCAGTGAGGCTTCTCTCCCACGAACGCGACCTTACCTGGCCGAGGCGCCACGGCTGCAGACGCGCTGGGAGGCGAGGAGGGTGTCCCGCAACGGTTCAGGTCCCGCGGCCGCTTCTCTAGCCGCCGGACCAGCCAGCGCACGGCGATGAGCAGCACGGAGGCACCGAGGAGCTCCCAGGCCAGCGCCGCCCACTCAACCACAGCCAACCGCTGCCACAGCATCGCCACCGCCGCCGCCGAGGCCTAGAGCGCGGGCGCCGGAGTTAGAGTCCGCGCCGCGCACGCCTCAGGCCCTCGCTAGGCCGCTCGCTTCGCTGCCGGAGCCGCGCAGGCCTTAGGCCTCCGCCCCGCCGCGGGGTTACAGAAGTTACAGCCTGACAGGAGACGAGGAAGCGGGGTGCGCGTGCAGGCCGGTGTCTTTCGTTTCCCAACGATCAAGCCACAACGCCTCCAGGAACCCAGCCTCCAGCGGCTTCGGAGGCAACCGGGGTCCTGACTCAAGCGAGACGCCGTCTGGCAGTGGCGCGGGCAGCATGTCGGGGGCCTGAGTCGGGCTCGGCGCTCTGGCTGGGCGCGGCTTGTTGCTCAGTGCCGTGGGCGCTTCGCAGTGAGTTCTCCCCGCGGGTCTGGAGACTGGAGAGCCAAGAGGGGGCACCTGGGCCACCCAGACTGTGGCCAGCGGAGCCGGTCAGAGTCCTTGACAGGTAGGTGCTGGGGCGAAAACGGTGGCCAAGTTCAGAAACCTGCTCTGTAGCCCTGCCAATGTTGTAAATGGAGCGGTTTCTCTGCAACACAACGGACCCTCCTGGCAAAATGCCGGTGCGGTTCTGACGGATAACGCGAGAGCCTCCCCAGCACTGGGATCAAAGTTGTGCGCCGCCATGACCGGCTGCTAATTGGAATTTCTTGAAGTCCTTTTCTAACCTTTGTTTTTCTTTTTGAGTCTTGCCTATATACCCTAAACTGGCCTCATGCTGGAGATCTCCCTGCTTGAGCCTGCACAATGTTAAGGTTTACAAGCATGTGTCACCATAATTTCACTTCTGACAAATCACGAGGGCACCGAAGACTATGATAGCCCGTGATGGTGTAGAGGCTTCTCACATGTGCTTTGAATGGCCTTCAGCAAGAAAGGTGTAGGTTTGCTTGTTGGGGGAATTACGAGAAGGCAGAGTGGAAGGTTGAGGCTGGGATGCCTCTTCCATCCAAATGTGCATCCTGCTTTACTGCCAATGAGGACTTGATGGTAAGACCAATTCTCTATCAGAAAATGGTGGCCCGAGGCATGTCCTAGAAAGCCCTGAGTGGAGGCCTGCAGATTATGATGCAGAATCAATTTACAAGCTGGACAAGTGGCAGGTGTACACCATTTGGGTCATGTCCTCAGTTAAAGATGTTACTCCTCAAGACAGATTCGGGGAAGCCTGCCGAACTAGATACAAAACAAATACCCAACCAGGTGATTGAGAAATGTTAAGATGAATTTCCAGTGATTTTTTTTTAACAGCCCCAGGTTATATAAGGCAAATTTAGATACATTTCAGTTTAGCCGGCATGGTGGTGCACATTCCAGCTCTTGGGAAGCAGAAGCAAACAAATCTCTGAGTTCGAGGCCACCCTAGTCTACAGAGTGAGTTCAAGGACAGTCAGGACTACACAGAGAACCCTTGTCTTAAAAACCAAAGTAAACAAAAAATTCAGTTTAATTGTAGACTGAGGCAGATGGATAAAGTAGTACTAATTCCTTCAAGAAACAAACCCAGCAATATGTCCTAAAGCATCAGAGAGCAACTTTTGATATTTTGTCTTTTGCTTCATTATTGTGTTTATTTAAAAATACTGTTGTTCATTACGACTGGTAGAAGCTGGGCATAGTGGCTAACTCATTTACCTGAAACCCAGGCAGCTGAGGATGATCTTGAGTTCCAGGGCAGCCTTTCTCAAAGACTTACCAGAAGTGTACCGTACTTGTGGAGATCCAGCCATATATATACATAGAGAAGAGCCCATGGCAGAGAATTCAGTAGAAAAAATTGGGAACAGCAACAGTGGGGAGCTTGAGATTCTCAGGTGGAGACATGCTAGTTCCATAAAACTAAACTGGGACAAGCAGCAGGCCAGGAATCCTGGGTTAAGGATCATAGCTAGGCCGACAACAGGCTGGCCTAGCAGGTAAAGGAAGGTTTGGACTTATTTTCAGAATGATGAGGCATTAAGTGTTGAGAAAGTATACTTTGATCAGCCTGATGGAGATGGTTGACAAAGGGTAGCAGAGTGCATATGAAAATGCATATTTAATGCTCAGAAAGCTTCATGTGAGGTGTGTAAGTCAAGGCTGCCCCTCCATAGAGTTATACTACTGTAAGATATTCATATAGAAGACATAAGACTATTTTACTATGAAGGTAATTCTTGACCCAGATATGTGTAAGGAAAGTCTACAAATCATCTCCTGCAGATACCTATCTGGAAGGAGGATAAAAGATGCTTATCCATGGTTCTACTCAGCTATCCCCATCCTAGGAATGGCTGGAGCTCTGACTCCAGGGAATAAGAAGCACTTCCTTAATCTGGGCTGTTAAAACTGCAGCCTAGTAGGTGCCATTTTCAACTCTAACTCTAGTTCAACTATGGAAGAATATAAAAGGCTTGTAAAGGTGGTATAAGTGTCCTCATAGCACATTAGGGAGTTCAGCTGTGCCCCTTGTAAAAGTATTATCCCGGCTGTGTTTCCTGCCCGTTTATATCCCCTCATGAAACCCTCACCTGAATATCTAGCTGCTTCCTACCATCTGTTGTATTTGGAGAGGCTAAAGTAGGTAGGCTGGGGAAGACTACGAGGGGTATGCTGCTACAGGGAAGCCTTCATCTTTGCAGGGTAAAGGCTTTCTAGGTGTACCCACATTCCTGTAAGTAACCCCTCACCTGTGCTCTGTAAAGAACCCCAATAAACTCATTGATTCCCCAGAATGAACTTCCATTGTTATTTATATCTTCCCGGGTCCTTCTCCTTTCCCATCTTAATTTTAACTGTGTGGCTTATTAGTAACATGTAGCTGAAATAGACCTGGGTGATTCGTTGATCAAAAATAAAGGGTGAATAAAAAATGACAAGAAATTGCTTAGGATACAAAAATTAACCTAGTAGAGACTAGTCAACTCAAGAGCATTGAGTAGACAGGCCCCCAACATCTCTGTTCCCTGCACATGCTTTTGCATGTGTGCTGCTTCCTTATGGTGATGGTGGATGAAGGCCAATGAAGGTCAACATGCTACTTTGGCTGGTCTAAACACAACAAGGAGTGAATCTTCCTTTCCTATCTCAAGCTCTTGTAGGACACAATTACCTTTTAAAATGGTGTGAAACAACATGAGATTAAAAAAAAAAAAAAGCTACTCCCAAATATGACAAAATGCTATTACTAAAAATGAAGCCCTCCCCAATGAAATATGAAAACCTTTACCAAAAATAGTTTATTGCATAAAATGTAAGGAATTCCCAAGCACGCTTATATTTTTAAAAAAGCAAAACAAAAACAAATCAACATGCCTTTTAAAGTTACAGTCTGTTAACTGTAATAACAGTTTTCCCTGGAAAAGAGCCAACATGAAGATTGACTCTTGTAAAGAAATTTTTTATAGAAATGAGAAACTCAAAAACTGAAATTTTGGACCCTCTAAATTGGACATCAAACCAAGGATTCTGTCAGAACCTAAGACTACTATACAGTAGATTTGGCTAGAATTCCAAACCACTGAGCATGTTAGGGTAAGACTCAGGATATCTCATACCACAGCATTATTCTTTATCATTAGGGTCTATCTCATACCATAGCATTATTCTTAACATTGGGATCCTTGGAAGGCTCCAACACTTTTTCTTTTCAAATATGACGGTCCCTTTCACTCCCATAATCTTCACCTGTTAATTTTTGTTTCAATATACATGAAAATACGTTATGGTGAGCCTATAGGCCTATGGCTTTTACAGTATCCAAACACTGGGACAAGTTACGTTTTGAAATGGAGAAAGAATTTAACACACGCTTTTTGATATATAACACTAAGACTACTTTCTGAGAGGGCTGGTCCTGTTCCCTGTACCCCAAACCCAAGTAAACTCCATCTCACATCTCAAAATCACTGCCTGCTACAACAGTATAAAAACCTAAGATCATGGAATCAATCTGACATGTACAATAAAAAAAAAAAATTGGAAATCTCATGGCAATTTTTTTTGAACATAAGAGAAATAAGTAATATTATAAATCATGCAAGACAAGGTGTCAGCTATAGGACATGATATAGCATATTTGATATGTGCACAAATGTTATGCAATGGTAAGCCTCCCTTAGAAAACAATCCTCCAGTTGCCTACAGTTTTTCATGAGTAAACCTAAAATTCCTAGTTTTCACTACACAAGCAACAGTAATTCAAGCTGTATTTACCCAAGAATAAGCTCTGGGAGGTAAAGTACAATGGAGTCCCTTGGAAACAGGAAAAAAGCAAAACCAATCAACTAAACAAACAAAAAAATACCTTAATTGACAGCAAATTTGAAAATTCAACTTCAAGGTGAGTTAAGGGACCCTAAGAGGATGCCATCTCCAATCTAAGAGTCCTCTGAACCACAAATGTGAGAAAAACACACATTGGTGCACAAAGATGGACAGTGAATGGAGCCAAAACATGCCAGATCCAAGGACCTGCAAGGTAGATAACAAAGCCTAGAGGAAGTGCCATTTCTGAGGGTGTACATGCACATGGGACAGCAAAACAATGGAAGAAATATGTTAAGACATGAAAGCAACTTTCACTTGAGTTCAGAATGAGCTTATCCATTTGAAGACTTTTCCACACAGGAGAAATTAGCTCTGCTGCAGAATAAGCCCAACCCAAGTATTATTTCTTGGTTTTGAAATTTAAAATACAAAATAAATAATGTAAATTACCATCCTTTTCCTAATTTCTAACTTACAGATAAAGAGGGTATATTAATATATAATGAAGTTTTCAATTTTTTTTTTTTAAAGATTAACCCTGTACAAATGCTATATACATTGTAAAAGTTCCAATACTTACTAGGGAATATTTTTCAAACACCAGACATCATTGTGATTACTTCTACTTTAACCATATCAGTTAATCTCCTAATAGGATATTAGAAGAAAACAACTGATTCTCCACAAAATAGACAAATTCACTAAAAGACACCTACCTGGGCTAATCACTAGTGTTCAGAACTTACTTTTTCAGGCTTTTCTTTCCCTTCTAACTTAATATTTCAGATCATTTTTTTTTTTTTTGTTTCACCTTTGTCTTTTAAAATCATGGTTTCATGTAACCAAGCCTCAAATTTGCCATGTAGCTGAAAACTGGTTTTGAACTGATCCTCCTCCTGATTCTACCCAAGTGCTGGGATTACAGTCATGAATTACAAAACCCACCTCATTTTAAATTTTCTTCACAGGCTTTCACAAAGGTTAAAGAACTTAACTCCTTTAGTCAGTATATAAAGTATTAGTATATGATTTGGGAAGCAGATTGCAATAAATCCCATATTTAGCGCCAACTTTAAACAAGGTTTCTGTCTCTGGACCTCCTGTCTTTCAAACCACAGCTGCCCACCTTCTCCTAGGTATTCTGACTCCTAGTAATACCAGTGTTTAATAGAGGTCCAGGGTAGTTCCAGATGACCACAC